GCTATGATCCAGGAGGAGACTCGCATTCGGCTGCAGGCAGGGACAGGTGGACTTCCTGTGGTGAAGTCAGCAATGGCAGCCTCTAGCAACACTGGATCTAGGGGAGAGACTCGACAGTGCTACAACTGCGGCACGGTGGGTCATCTAAGGCATGCTTGCACCAAGCCACCCAAGGAAGGAGATTCGGGTGGACGTGTACAGTTCGGAGGTCGTGGCGAATCTGATGGTAGCAGAGGAAGAAGAAGCAACTGAGATGGTCTTTACTGAGGAGGACCATATGCTCCTGGAGATTCTTCGGAAGAAGCAGAGAGTAGCAGGAGATGGAGACAGAAGAAGTGGAACTGAGCAGACATCCAATGGCAACTCTGCTACTTATGCTCATCCGACCAAAGGTACGGATGACATACATGCTCTTGCTTCTATGTCTCCCAATAGACCATCAGAATGGATTGTCGACACCGGTGCATCTCGACATGTGACGGTCAACGCTAGTGAGTTCTCGTCATACACTCACCTAGCATCAGCAGATAGCATCCAAACAGCTGATGGTACATTTCAGCCTGTGGTTGGTAAGGGTACCGTTAATTGTACAGGTTCTGTAACTCTGTCCAATGTTTTGCATGCTCCTTCCTTTCCAGTAAATCTTTTGCCATTAGTGCTATTATCCTCCAACTAAAATGTATCATTTCTTTTGACATTCCTAAGGTGATCTTCCAGGAGAAAGGGACAGGACGGAGACTTGGGACTGGCACGTGGAGTAATGGACTGTGGTACTTGGATCGTGAGGGGCTGGACTCAGCTTTGGTGTCAATGGTAGAGAGACCAGGAGTAGGATCTGAGATGAGTGCCGAGAGTGTGTTGATGCTTCATCACCAGCGCTTGGGACACTCATCCTTTGGTACTTTAAGCAGGTTGTATCCATCTTTATTTGAGAAAGCAAATAAAGAGAAACTTGTGTGTGATGCATGTAAGTTGGGAAAGCTTACTAGAAGCTCTTATGTTAGTTCTGATCATAGGAGTTCTCATGCATTTGATCTGATACATTCAGATGTTTGGGGACCTTGTTCCACAAGTTCTATGAACGGATACAAGTATTTTGTTATCTTCATTGATTGCTTCTCTCGCGTTACTTGGTTATACCTGATGAAAAATAAGAGTGAAGTGTTTGGTTGCTTCCAAAACTTTCATAGGTATGTTCAAACTCAATATGGAGCAGTGGTGAAGGTATTGAGATCTGATAATGGGACAGAGTATACCAACAGAACGCTTGGGGAATACTTGTTAGCTCAGGGAATACAATACCAGACTACATGTCCATACACACCAGCTCAGAATGGGGTAGCGGAAAGGAAGAACAGACATCTTTTAGAGGTTGCTAGAAGTATGATGATCTCCATGAATGTCCAAGAAACATTGTGGGGACAAGCAGTGTTGACTGCAGCGGCGCTGATCAACAGAATGCCCTCGAGAGTACTGGATTGGAAGTCTCCGTGTGAGACGTTGAAAGAAGATAATGGTGGGATTCTTCCACTGAAGGTATTTGGTTGTGTGTGCTTTGTGAAGGATAACAGACCATCCGTCGGGAAGCTTGCCCCTAGAGCGGTGAAGTGCATTTTTATGGGATATTCTGCTACTCAAAAGGGATATGTTTGCTGGAGCCCGGTGGAGAAAAGACTGTTCGTGAGCATGGATGTGTACTTTCGTGAATTTGAGCCATATTACACACAGAAGGTACCCTCATCCGTTGGTGACTCGCCCAATACTGGAAGTATGAGGCGAGAAGGGGAGAATGGTGAGAGGCAGATGAATAATGTAGAGAATAATGTGGAGAAATCAATTTCTCTAACGATTCCTTGGGAAGGAGAATTGGTTGAGGAGGAGCAGGAGAATAAAGAAGAAGAGAATAAGAAGACAAGAGGTGTTAGGCCCACGGCTCAGGGGGAGCTACTTACCTATAGTAGGAAGGGGAAGCAAATTGCGGAAACAGTACCTACAATGCCACTAGTGCCAACAGTACCTACAGCGCCACTAGTGCCAGATCCCTTATCAACGCCTGTCCCGACTCCTGAGACACCTACACCACAATCAGATTCCTCCCAAGGTGATATCATTCCTCTCCTTACTCCTCCCACACCAATGTCAGTACGGAGGACTACTCGCAGCAATGCGGGACATCCTCCCGATAGATATGGTTGGGATCTTGCCCAGTTTGTATCATATTCTAATATCCACCCTGCACATGGAGCATTCATTGCATCATTGGATTCTGTTACTGTACCTAACAATTGGCAGGTTGCTAAGAAGGACCCAAAGTGGAAAGCAGCTATGCATGAGGAACTAGGAGCTCTTGAGAAGAACCGCACTTGGGAGCTAGTAAAACTACCAAAAGGGAAGAGAGCAGTTGGATGCAAGTGGGTCTTCACTGTAAAGCAGAATCCAGACAGACAGGTTGAGCGCTACAAAGCTCGTCTGGTGGCAAAAGGATATAGTTAGACATATGGCATCGACTATGATGAGACTTTTGCACCGGTGGCGAAGATGAGCACTGTTCGGACCTTGATCTCTCTGGAAGTAAATGGTGGATGGAAGCTACACCAATTAGATGTGAAGAATGCATTTCTTCATGGAGATCTGGTGGAAGAAGTATACATGGAAATTCCGCCAGGATTCGATACAGATCAGACAATGGGCAAGGTCTGCAGATTAAAGAAGTCTCTATATGGTCTGAAGCAATCTCCCCGTGCTTGGTTCGACAGATTTAGACGGGCTATGATAGGTATGTGATACCGGCAGATTAACGCCGATCATACCGTGTTTTTTCGACGAAATGAAGGTCACATCACCATGCTTACGGTATATGTGGATGATATGATTATTACCGGGGATGATGAGAAGGAGATTGCCCAACTCAAAGTGAGACTGGGTAAGGAATTCGAGGTGAAAGATCTTGGCTTGCTTCGATACTTTCTTGGAATAGAGATAGCTCGAGGAGCGGAGGGGATCGTCCTATCCCAGAGAAAGTATGCACTGGATATTCTTAAAGAGACAGGGATGTTAGGGTGTAAACCTGCAACTACACCGATCGACCAGAAGTTCAAGCTGGGTGCTGAAGCTGGAGAACCAGTTGATCGTGACAGATACCAAAGGCTGGTGGGCAGGTTGATCTATCTGAGTCACACACGTCCCGATATCTCTTTTGTAGTGAGCGTGGTGAGCCGCTACATGCATGATCCAAGGAAGGGTCATATGGACGCTGTGTACCAGATTCTGAGATATTTGAAGAGTGCCCCCGGAAAAGGGTTGATATTCAGAAAGAATGGACATGTGAGCATTGATGGTTACTGCGACTCTGATTGGGCTAGTTGTGCTGATGACAGGAGATCCACCTCAGGATATTGTATCTTTATAGGAGGCAACTTGGTCTCTTGGAAGAGCAAGAAGCAGTCGGTGGTGGCGAGATCAACAGCTGAAGCAGAATATAGAGCTATGGCCTTAGGAGTTGCGGAGTTGTTGTGGTTAAAGAGTATGTTGGTGGAGCTGAAGCTAGATCAAGGAGTAAAGATGAAACTGTGGTGTGATAACAAGTCAGCCATCAGTATCGCCAATAACCCAGTGCAGCATGATAGAACCAAACACATCGAGATCGATAGGTTCTTCATCAAAGAGAAGTTGGACAGTGGACTACTGGAGTTAAGTCATGTTCCAACTAAGGATCAGACAGCAGATTGTCTGACTAAGGGACTTAGCTCAGTAGATATGATTAGAGGATGTGACAAGATGGGCTTAGTGGATATCTTTCGCCCATCTTGAGGAGGAGTGTTGACATATTAGTATAGTTAAGGGGCTTATATGTAAGATGTGTTTTGTAGGGCTTATATAAGCCCATGTTATCTTATCAATGAGATTAGGGTTTTCTATTCCAATAGTTGGAGATGAACTGCTACTTCCTGGTGTGTTAGGGGTAGTACTTGTAGAGCTGCTATTGTTTGATGTTGAGAAAGTCTCAGGAATTATTGGTAGAGATGGCCCTTCTTTTGGAAATGCTTCAAAGTTTGTTTCTTTGCTGCTGCTACTCCAATTCCACTCAGCATCTTCATTGAATATTACATTTCTGCTAATGATCACTTTGCCACTAAGAGGATTATATAATCGATATGCTTTGGATTGATTACAATAACCAATAAAGATACATTTTTCTAATTTTTCATCTAATTTTTGATGATTCTGTGAATTTACCAAAGCATAGGCAATACAACCAAAAAATCGTAAGTGGCTTACTGAAGGTTTTATACCTCTCCAAGCTTCAAAAGGTGTTTGATTCAAAATAGCCTTTGTTGGTGAAATGTTCAGCAAATAGACTGAAGTTGCAACTGCTTTTGCCCAAAATTGATTGGGAAGTCCCTTTGCTTTGAGCAAGCTTCTAGCCATTTCAACAACGGTACAATTCTTGCGATCCGCTACCCCGTTCTGCTCCGGTGTGTAAGGGGCTGTCAATTCTCTCTGAATCCTATTTTCTTCACAAAAGTGATTAAAGTCATTTGACAAAAATTGACCACCTCTATCCGTGCGGAGAGCTTTTATGCATGACTCACTTTGATTCTCAACAAAAGCTTTGAATTTCTTAAAACTCTCAAAAGCTTCTGACTTGTTTTGCAAAAAATACACCTAGCTCATATGACTAAAATCATCAGTTAAAAGAAAATAATAAAGACGTCCTACAAATGACTCAGTGTCCATAGGGCCACACAAATCAACATGAATTAATTCAAGACAATGTGAAGCTCTCCAGGCATTTCCAACTGGAAATGATTTTCTCACTTGTTTTCCATATACACATCCCTCACATATCCAAAGACTCAATTTTAGGTAAGCCAAGAACCATACCTTTTTTATTCAGTAACCTCAAACCGTTGACATTCAGATGTCCATATCGAAGATGTCATAACTTGGACTCATTTTTTTCACCAATTGCCAAAGCAAATTGTTCCACGTTTGAGACTTCAAGTGGAAACATTTTGTTTTTTTGTCATGTGAACATTGACAATTGTCTGCCCCGATTTTTTGTCTTTAATAACACATTCTCCATCATCAAATATTATAGTGTATCCACCAGCCATTAATTGCCCTACACTCAGAAGATTATGTGCCAATTTAGGAACAAATTGAACATCATGAAGAAGTTTCACTTTACCATTATTAGTTTTGATTGCTACTGTCCCTTCCCCTTCAACTTGAATATTCTTATTATCTCCAAGCTTGACCTGCATCTTTTGGGTCTTATCAAGCTCTCTGAACATTTCTCTTATGCCTGACATATGATTGGAACAACCACTATCTACAAACCATACATCACTTGCAACATCATTAGTATCAAAATAAGCCATAAACAACTTACTTTCCTCATCATTTTGTTCTGCAAAGTTCACTTCATTGTACCAGCAATCTGCTTTTACATGTCCATACCTCTTGCAATGAAAACATTGGATACGACCTCTATTTCCTCTACCTTTGCCTTGACTTCTGCCACCATGATATGAACCTCTGTCACGTTTATAATTTCCTGTTGTTCTTGCTGATTCCTTTTGATTTGAGCTCTCCCCCTTCACTTGAAAGGCTTTTTATTCTTGTGTCTCTATTAACCTGTTCAGCCTTGCCTCATGAGCTTGTAAAGAGCCCATAAGTTCATCAAATGAAAAAATTGACAAGTCTTTTGATTCCTCAATTGCAGCTACGACATGATCAAATTTAGGGGTTAAACTCCTTAAAACTTTTACAACAACAGTTTCATCAGTAATTTCCTCTCCATAAGATCTCATTGGATTAACAATTCCAGACAATCTAGTAAGAAAATCTTGCACTGATTCTCCACTTTTCATATTCAAGGTTTCAAAATCACGACAAAGAATTTGAAGTTTTACCGTGATTACCTTTGTGGACCCTTGGAATGATATCTGCAGTGACATCCAAGCTTCTTTAGCAGTGGTGGCTGCTAAAATTTTTGAGAAGAGTGTCTCATGAACTGCTTGTTGAATGAAGAAAAGTGCCTTTGCATCCTTCTTTCTGTTTTCCCTCAATCTGTTCTCCTCATCAGTATCAACATACCCATTTTCCACTAAATCCTAAAGATCTTGAGACTTGAATAAGGTATTCATCTTGATGCTCCAGAACTCATAACAATCTCCTTTGAAGATGGGAATGAGAGATGTGTTGTGCTCTGATACCAATTGGTGCGCGCCTATGCGGAAGCGTGCTTGCACACCGAACGAATATGTGATCACGGGAGAAGAGAACCAACCACATGCGAGCACAATCCAAAACCAAATATGATAAATGATCAAACCAAACACAGAGATATACGTGGTTCGACAATTTGCCTACGTCCACGGGGAGAGGATGAGGAGATTCCACTAAATCAAAGAGAGTACAAAGGGTTATAATCTCACAAAATCACTCACACAAACCCTAAAGAAAATCTCTCAACTTGCTCACAAGTTCTCCCTCTCTATATGCTCAGTACAATCTAAAATCTCTGATAAGAAACCCTAAAAAATCATGTTTTAATTTATATCAAAACACAAACCCAATACGAACAGGAAACCAAATTCTAGCCCAGCCCGACTCACGGTCGACCGCAGAGACATGTGCGGTCGACCGGACATGTCTCTGCGGTCGACCGGACAGAACGACAGAAACTCAAAAATCATTACAGGGTTTGGCCGGTCGGCCGCAAAAAGTCCAGAGACTTTTCTAGCTTGCGTACACGTTTGCGATCGATCGCCGCGTCACTCTCGGTCGACCGCTGGAAGTCCAAACTTGTTTTCTGCCGTTTTTCTTGTAAGATCTTCAATTCTCCACCTTGGTGAAGTTTTCCCAACACTGAGCCGACACCAAACAAAGAGCACCAATGCGTCATCTCTCCAAAATCGGCTGCACCAAAATGGTTGCCAACGTACCCCCTCTCCCAATGGATCAAGTCGCACGTAGTTCATCCAAATGGCCGTCAATGGCCTTAACAAACACGAATGTGCAACAAGTTTTTATAATGATCAAACTTGTTGCTCGGAACCACCTTAGTGAGCATATCCGTCGGATTATCCTTCATGTGGACCTTCACAATCTCCATATCGCCATCTTCAAGAACATCTCGAACGAAGTGATAATGAACGTTATTATGCTTCGTCCTCGTATGAAAAACCTGATTCTTCGCCAAATAAATAGCACTCATACTATCACAATAAATAGTGACGGACTGCTGCGATATGCCAAGTTCCTCCAAAAGTCCTCGAAGCCAAATAGCCTCCTTCACAGCCTTCGTAATTACCATATACTCTGCCTCCCTCGTTGACAAAGCCATCGTAGACTATAAGGTGCATCTCCAACACACCGGCGTAAGGGTCAAAGTGAACACATACCCTGTAGTAGACCGATGCTTATCCAAATCCCTGGCGTAATCCGAATTAACATAGCCAATGCACAACTGGCCACCTCTAGTGTCCCGCTTAAAAACCAAACCAGCATTGAGCGTACCTCGAATGTACCTCAAAATCCATCTCACGGCATCCCAATGACCCACTCCTGGATCATGCATGTATCTCGAAACCATGCTCACCACCTGTGACTAATCTTGCCTCGTACATACCATCACATACATCAAGTTCCCAACAGCGCTTGCATATAGAGTCTTCGACATTAACTCTCGATCTTTAACTATCTTTGGTGAAAGGTCACTTGAATGTTTCAAATGGGCTCCCAAAGGTACACTAACTGGCTTCGTATCCATGCTGACATGGAATTATTGTAAACTTCTTCAAATAAGTCATATGTGTCAAAAAAATTCTGCTCTTCTCTTTGTCTCTGCCGATCTTCATCCCTAAAATACGCTTAGCCTCACCCAAATCCTTCATCTCAAACTCCTTTGAGAGTTGTGCCTTCAACTCATCTATAGAAGACTTGGAAATAGAGGCAACCAATACATCATCAACATAAAGCAACAAATAGATGTACGCACCTCCTTTCAACTTGTGAAAATACACGCAAGGATCAAACTGGCTCTGAGTGTACGAATGACCAATCATAAAACCATCAAATTGCCTATACCACTATCGAGAAGACTGCTTCAAACCGTATAGCGATTTTTTTAACCTGCAAACCAGGTTTTCCTTCCCTGCAGCTCGGAATCCCAATAGCTGAGTCATATATATTTCTTCATCAAGATCACCATAAAGAAATATCGTCTTCACATCCAACTGATCTAATTCTAATCCATATTGTGCCACCAAAGCTAGCAAAATATGAATCGAAGAGTGCTTCACCACTGGAGAGAAAATCTCATTATAATTAATACCTTCCTCCTGTGCATAGTCGTTCGCAACCAACCTAGCCTTGAACCTCACTAGAGTGCCTTCAATGCCCTCCTTCTTCATGTATACCCACTTGCAACCAATCGCCTTCCGCTTCTTTGGATGCTCAACAAGCTCCCACGTATCGTTCTTGTGAAGAGACTCCATCTCCTCCTGCATAGCCCCCTGCCACGAATCAGCCTCCGAACTCTGCTCGGCCTCTCTGAATGTAGTAGACAACAGCTCATTGATACTCTCCGCTAAAAGTGCATATGCAACTACTGTGTCGGTATACCATGTTGGCATCCGTATGTCTCTCCTCTGTCTCCGAATCGCAATAGAATCCTGAACCTGAGCCATCGGTTCCTGATCCTACACAACTATACTCGTATCCTCCTCGTCATCACCATGCTCGTCTGGCATCACCTCAGTCGGCACTCTAATGGATATTGTATCATCTGGACAATGTGGAGCTGCATCGATCTCCACCACCTACGATATCTCCTCCATCGGGTTGCTCTCTACCTGATGAGAGCTGGGAAGCTTCAAGATAGAAGCCTTATCAAACGTGACATCCCTACCCAGCATAATCTTTCTATCAACTGGATCACATAGCTTGTATCTCTTGACACCACGCTTGAATCCTACAAATATGGTCTTCCTAGCTCGAGGTTCTAACTTATCAGTCTTCACATGATAGTATGCAGGGCACCCAAATACCTTAAGCTGGTCATAGTCATGTGCTGAATCTCCTGACCATATCTCCATAGGGGTCTTCCCCTCAATCGCAGATGAAGGCAGCGTGTTAATGAGGTGGCTCGCATATGAAAGTTCCTCAACCCAAAAGATCTTCTCCAAACATCTATGCGCCAACAAACATCGGATCTTCTCCAGCAAAGATTGATTTAACCTCTCTACTGCACCATTCTACTGCGGTGTATGACTAACTATGAAGTGTCTCTCTATGCCATTATCTTGACATAGCTACTGAAAGGGGTCTGATGTGTACTCCCCGTTGTTGTCGGATCGTAATATCTTGATCTTTCTCCTAGTCTATAGTTCCAAGCTCTTCTTCCACTCCACAAATATATCTAGGACTTCACTCTTCTTTGTCATGGTGTATACCCAATAACACCTAGAATAGTCATCAACGAACGTGACGAACCAATATCGACCATCAAGTGATGCAGTCTTGGTGGGACCCCAAACATCTGTGTGCACATAATCCAGGATGCCCCTCGTCCTATGAATAACTGTCCCGAACTTCACCTTTGTCTTCTTGCCAAGAACACAATACTCACAGAACTCAACCTTTCCACTCTTGGCTCCTTTCAATAGCCCCTGCTTACACAAAGCCTGCAGTGACTTCTCTCCTGTGTGTCCCAACCTGTAGTGTCAAAGTTTGTTAATATCCGCTTCTGAAATAGCTGAAGCAACCTGGCCAATCTCGATGATCCCCTTCAGATAATATAAGTTCTTACTGCGGACTCCCTTCATCATCACCAAAGATTCCTTAGTAACCTTTTGCTACAGTATTCTAAAAGACTACCTTGAATCTCTTCGCTTTCAAAGCTCCAACTGAAATAAGATTCTTCTTTAACTGAGGAACAAATCACACCTCCTTTAATTTACGGACTACTCCATCATGCATCTGAATCCTCACGGTACCTATCCCACAAATGTCACAGGATTGATCATTTCCCATGACCACAACACCCCCATCGAGTCTCTCAAATGATGAAAACCAATCTCACCTAGGAGTCACATGATAAGTAGCGTCAGAATCAAGCATCTAATCTGATGCATCCAAGTGATTTACCTCTAGAGTAATCAATAGAGAAAAGCTCGAATCATCGGAATCATTGTCTATCGCAACATTCACCTCATTAGCCTTCGGGCCCTTCTTCTTGCTATTCTCCTTCTCCTTAACCTTTGGGCAGTCTCTCTTCTAATATCCCTGCTCCTTGCAGAATGCACATTGATTCTTTCCTAGCTGGTGATGGTCTTTTGACTTTAACCTGCCTCTATTGCCACCTCTCAGATATGGGCTTCTACCTCTCATCGACAAGGCCTCTCTTGAAGTACTAGCGAGGAAAGTCTCCTTGTCATTCCTCCTCAAATTATAATTTGTCAAAGCGTTAGTTACTTAACTATAAGTGATAGAAGATCTCCCGTTCAACAAAGTAAGCACAAATGTATCAAACTCCTCATCCGGTAAGGAACCCAACGGAATAATAGCCTTGTACTCATCCGATATCTTCTCATCAACATTGACCAAGTACGATAACAACTTAGTATAGTTGTTCACATGAACTGCTAGTGAGGTGCCCCTGGACATCTGAAATCAGAATAACCTACGCAGCAAGTGCAATCTGTTCTTAACACTCTTCGTAAGGTACTTGTTGTTGAGAATTTCCCACATCTTTATTGCAGACGTCACCCTAATCGCATCATATTTCAGCTCCTGTTCCAAACAAGACCTGATCACCTCACAAGCGTTCTTATTCATTTTTTTCTCATATCGCCTCTTTATATTTTGGTGGCCTCTCATGGACCATGATGGTCTCCTCCAAATTCTGAGTATTGAGCGCATCCTGAACATCGTTCATCCACAAACCATTGCCGTCATACTTCACCATACTAATTTTAGTATTCTGAAAACCAACTTGAATTGTACCCACCATCTTGCTGCTTTCACCAACTTTTTCACCCATAATCACAAACTCCAAATTATAAAGAAAGATTCAAACTTGATAGAATTTAGAAGTTACCCAACTAAACCCTAGAACGGATTCCAAATAGATCTCCTAACCACACGAGGAAAGTAAAATCTTCAATGGTAACCCCAAACACTATCTCCACTGAAGCCTAGAACTCCAAGAATCAAGCTTCCAAGATGAATCTTCCTCCACCTAATGCTAAAACCCTGGATCTAAAATCTGAGCTCTGATATCAATTGTTGTGCTCTTATACTAATTGGTGCGCACCTATGCGGAAGCATGCTCACACACCGAACAAATCTGTGATCACGGGAGAAGAGAACCAACCACACGCGAGCACAATCCAAAACCAAATATGACAAATGATCAAACCAAACACAGAGATATATGTGGTTCGATAATTTGCCTATGTCCACAGGGAGAGGATTAGGAGATTCCACTAAATCAAGGACAGTTTAAAGGGTTACAATCTCACAAAATCACTCATACAAACCCTAAACCAAATCTCTCAACTTGCTCACAAGTTCTCCCTCTCTATATGCTTAGTACAATCTAAAATCTTTGATAAGAAATCCTAGAAAATCGTGTTTCAATTTATATCAAAACACAAACCCAATACCAACAGGAAACCAAATTCAAGCCCAGCCCGACTCACGATCGACCGCAGAGACATGTGCGGTCGACCGGACAGAATGACAGAAACTCAAAAATCATTATAGGGTTTGGCCGGTCGACCGTCGTACCACTCGAGGTCGACCGCGAAAAGTCCAGAGATTTTTCTAGCTTGCGTGCACGTTTGCGGTCGACCGCCGCGTCACTCGCGGTCAACTGCTGGAAGTCTAAACCTATTTTCTGCCGTTTTTCCTGTAAGCTCTTCACTATGATCTGTTAGGATTATGTCTTTGATTCTTTGTATAACTTCATGAGAATTAGATAGGGTTAGAGATCTATCATGATTAGGAGATTAGATTTTATCATGATTAGAAGTTTGAATTCTATTCTAATTAGGAAGTTAGGCTAGAGATAGGGTTTTGGTTTCCCTATATATATTCTTCTATTGTTGGAGGAAAAGAAACAAAGGAGAGAGAACCGATATTCTTGTAATTTAGGGTTAACAGAGGGCGTAGCCTGATTCAAGAATATTGTGCGAGAGGCAAAGGTTTCGTAGTCTTGATTCGTGCAAAATATTACATTATTAGGAGAGGGTTTCACAATCTTTGTCCGTTCAAAAGATTGTAAGGAGTGAGTTTTGGAGAGAATATGAGAGTTGATTATGTATGTGAGGTTGAGAGATTAGGAGATGAGAGTTAAGTGGTTCCTCTTATAGTTCTCCCTGATACATAGTAAATTTCTCGTATTGTTGCCCCGTGGACGTAGGTCGAAGTTGGTCGACCGAACCATGTAAATCTCGGTGTTTTTTCTTCTTTATTGTGATTATTTTATATCTTGTTGATTGTGGGTTGGCTTCCGAGTTGCGAAGATCATAGTACGCGGGGGACTAAAATTCCCCACAAAAGTGGTATCCGAGCCATGATGATGGATCTGGGAGTGAGTTTGCAAGATAGACGTCGTACAAAATTGAAAATCGGCATTACAAGAATTAAGATGAAGAAAAAGAAAAAAAGGGTTTG